TTTTTTGTATTTTTTATTGGATTTCAACATTTTTGGCTATGATTTCGATGGATTTCAATAAAAACGCATAAAATACAAATAAAACGATACAAAAAAAACAAAAAAACATCAAAAAACATAAAAAAACGAACAAATTCCAATGAATTTAGTGCCGGACGGTCCGGAAGCGCTCTGGACACTTTTTTCGCGCCAAAAACGCCTAAGTTCAGGCGGATGGCGGGGCTACCCGCTGCAGAGGAAGCTCAGGCCTCAGGGGCGTCAGGCCCCTGAGCCTGCTCAGGTTCAGGCGGGGCTGCCCGCTTCTTCTCCCTTCTGCGTTCTCGGTGGCGTGACCTCTCTCTCTCAGACTTGTCACGCTTGCTGTGCCTTCTCTTTTTTTCTTGTATTTGTCTCTTGCGGGGCTTCCCGCTTTTTAAAATCCAGGATATCTGACTCTGATATCTGACTCTGCAGCCTTCGCCGCTTCAGAGATCGCAGTGGCAGCCTTGATCTCTGTAGCCTTCGCCGCCTCAGTAGTGGCCTCAGAGGCAGCCTCGATCTCTGCAGCCTTCGCCGCTTCAGTCACAGTTGCCTCAGAAGAGGCAGCCTCGATCTCTGCAGCCTTCGCCGCTTCAGTCACAGTCCCCTCAGAGCCAGCCTCATTCTCTGCAGCCTTCGCCGCTTCAGTGGCAGTGGCAGCCATGATCTCTGCAGCCTTCGCCTCTTCAGTGGCAGAGGCAGTAGTGGCAGCCTGTGCTGCTTCGCTGTCCTTGTGAGCTGCCACTTCATCGCAGTTCGCTGCAGGTGGGGCTTCTGACTCCACTGCAGCTTCCACCGCAGCCGCAGGCTCATCCTTCACTTCACCTTCTGGGCTTTGTGGGTTCTCCAGACCTGGAGGCATGTCACCACCCACTGCCTCCTTCACCAGCGGGGATTCCGCAGCGTCATCGGCCTCCATCTTCACATTAGGGGGTTCCGCTGCAGGAGCTGCCTCTACTGCCTTTGCCTGGACCGGTTCGGATGGGGCATCAGGCGGTGTTTCCGCAGGAGCTGCCTCTGTGTCTGGCTCCCTTGGTTCTTCCTTCCTGGCATCGGTTGGGGCTGAGGCTGCAGTACCCTTCTCAGGATCCTTCTTCTCATCTACTTCTGCCTCTGGCGGGGTTGCCGCTGCCTCCTCCTCTTTTGTCATACTTGCGGCTGCCTCCGCTTGGGCAGGTCGAGCAGCAGCTGGGGAGGTTGGGGACTCTTCTGTCTCCTCCTCGTCCTCAACCACTGGTTTGAGAGAAGGTTGCTTGCCCTCAACTGAGGCCTTGCCTTTGGCCTGGGCTTGTTCGTGTAGTCTTCGCCGGACTTGCCCGCGATCGACGCTTCTGGCTTTTGCAGCCGCTGATCTCCTGTCCCACCGCTGTCCTTCAAGGTGGCTCCAACCCACAAAGTTGTTGGTCTTCCACGATGTGCTGCACTCCAGTTGGACCATGACTGTCCCAGTCCCAGTTGTCTGGGCGTTCTGGCTGGCTCCTTTTCTCGTGTCCGGGGTGGTGAACGGGAGCGAGGGGTGGACTCGGCGGACTCATGCAGGGGCTTTGGTTTTGGCTGTCCCTTTCTTTGACCTGGGCCCTTTGCCTTTGCCAGGCGACAGCGATGAAGAACCTGCGGGACTAGCCAAACAGCGTTGAAGCTCAGGCCATGTGCAAGAATCAGGCACCCACAGATCTGATCTGAACTTGAGGGGGCTGGCGGAAATATATGGCAAGTGGAAAACAACGCTCGACTGACAAAGACAAAGTACTGCGCCAACTGTCTTCATACAGAAATTCCCGGAGGCCTTTGCGGTAGCTGGGCCTGCAAGATCCTCCGCTGATCTTGCCTTTGCAACATTCACTCGTCCATGGCGGGCGCACAGAAACAGCAAAGACATGGGCTGACAATGGCGTATCATTGTGACTAGTGACTAGAGTCTGTCAGTCTGTCTGTCCAACGAGTCCAACTTCATTGATTTCATCAGGTTGTTTCTAGATTACTTATCTAAGATATATGATATACGCATCCACTTGCGATATATACATTTATTCAACACGGTTAGATTGAAAAATGCTGGGAAATGTCTGAAACATTGGTGTGTAAATGAAAAATTGTTTGTTATCATCAAGCAACCATGTTTTTTGAGCCCAAATTACGAAAACGGTGTGAAGACGCCATTGTTTAGTTAATTTCGGGAAACCCACGACAAACCAGATCAGGGGAAGGACTGGAGCCAATCTCACAGGCGCGCGCGATCCTCGCAATGCGCAGGGGGTTGCTCGGGCTCAAACGCGATCGACGTGTCGCCACACGTTTGAGCGCTCGACACGCACGATCCCCGCAGAGGGTTGCTTGGGGTCAAAAGCGATCGTCGTTTCACCACACGCTTGAGCGCTCCACACGCACGACCCTCGCAGAGGGTCACGTTTCGTGAGCTCCGGCCGGACCTGCCCGCCACCTTAAGAGTAGAAAGAAAACTATAAAGAAGTCGAATCGAAGTGTTAGAAGTGTTTTTTCGTAGGTGAGACTTAGTAGGTGCTTTTAGTTATGTCATGATGTATGATGTATGATGTCCGATGTATGACGATGATGATGATGATGACGCTGATGCTGATACTGATGATGATGATGATGATGATGTGATAGTAGCGATGATGATGGAAGATGATGTGAGCAGATGACCTTTGGGAGAAACCCTTCGCAGGTGCTTTCGGGAATAAGCCAAAAAGAATGTCAGAATGAATGTCAGCAGATATGCCAGATAGAAAGCGAGAATGAGTGTCGGAGAGATGCCAGAAAGAAAGAATGTGAGAAGATATGCCAGAAAGAAAGTCAAAAGAAAGGCCACAACGAATGTCAGAAAATATGCCAGACAGGCTGTCAGAAAGAATGTCAATAGATATGCCAAAAAGACTGCAAGAAAGAATGTCCAAAAGAAAAGAATGTCAGGAAATATGTCAGAAAGAATGTCAGAAGATATGACAGAAAAAATGTCAGAGAGAATGTCAAAAGATATGTCAGAAAGAATGCCAAACATCATGTCAGAAGATATGCCAGAAAGAATGTCAAAAGATATGGCAGAAAGAATGTCAGAAGATATGGCAGAAAGAATGTCAGAAGATATGGCAGAAAGAATGTCAGAAGAGATGCCAGAAAGAATGTCAGAAAGAATGTCAGCAGATATGCCAGATAGAAAGCCAGAATGACGGTCAGAAGGGATGCCAGAATGAATGTCAGAAGCTATGCCAGAAAGAGTGTCAAAAGATATGCCAGGAGGAATGCCGGCAAGAATGTCAGAAAGAGTGCCAGAAAACATGTCAGAAGATGTGCCAGAAAGGAGTTCACAGAAACCTCAACCGCCAGCTCCGGACGGACGGCAGTGGGACCTCATCTGCCAGAATGTCAGAATATATGCCAGATAGAATGTCAAAATATGCCAGGCCAGAAAGAAAGTCCGAAAGAACGTCAGAAGGTATGCAAGAAATAATGTCGGAAGATATATTAGAAAGAATGTCCGAAAATATGCCAGAAAGATATGCAGAAAGAATGCCGAAATAATGTTTCAATACACACCGAAAAGATTGTTAGATTGAAATGTCATGGTGGGGATCACTCGAAGTGAAGTAATTTGTCATTGCGTTGTCCAAGCAGTGTGTTGCAAAGTTCTATACCGGTTACCAGCACTTACGAAAAAGTTGACTCTTTAGTCACTTTGTTGGCCCCAAGCTGGATCCATTTTCTGGCTCCCAAAACGAGGCCGCAACTTCTTTCAAACGCTACCGACCATGAAGCTATTATTGTTGCTACCATGAAGCTGCACAAGTGCAACGGTATAATTTGGACCACCGTCAGATCTGGAATTACGATTCTTTCTTATATTTTAGCTGCGTCGGGCAACACAGCGGCAACATGTTTGAGTCCTGACACACACGCACACAGAGTATATAATGTTGAAGGTGCCCAAGGTTCAGTGTAGGCTCGCTCGATTGTGCCACGCAGTGTCAGTCTTCTTTTGCTCAAAGTGCAACCAACAGGTTACTGCAAGCGAAGTTGTCACTGATTGTTTGACTTGATTTGTTTCGATGCTTTCTTACTGCAACCTGCAACCAGTGGTTTGGAGCATCGTAAAATCATTGTCGCAAAAGATAGTTGGTAAACATGCTTTGCAAACTATCTTTACTGCAAATGTTTAAGAGCCTGCTTGAAGTATATATGTAATATTATTAGGTCGATTCTTTGGGCTTACCTCCCTGAGGAAGTGTTCATATACTGATTAATATACTATACTGACTGGACGCTCCTATGGAAAGTCAATCCAGCTCAAGAGTCCATTTTAAAGAATAGTGTCTATGTAAAGTCCAGCGTAAATGACTCCCACCAAAAGCCTAGTATAGAGTCTTGAAAAAGGCGAAGGCCAAACTCAGCCCCACTCATGCCCACCATATGGTCTGCAAGGTCATAAAGCGCTGAAGCTTCGATTGTATCCATGTCTGGTCCTGGCAGTGAACATGATTCTGAATTGAAACACCTGCTCCTAAAGTGTTACTGTAAATAAGATCAAATAGGACGAACAAGGACCTGACACCCGGTACCATTAGGGCGTGACTAGGGGAATGGCCTATATAATATATAATTAGCATGATAGGGGCCTAGGGTTTACATTGGAGGTTGCAGGCCGCACACATATCGGCTGCATCTGGAGGAGCTGGTCAACCATGCAGAACAGGGTCAAACAAGTCGGTGGAGGGTTTCTAGGCAAGTTGCGTTGCACAAAATGTCCGTATGTATACTGTATATATATATATACACGCTTGGGATTGACTGAGCAGTTCTAAAGCCTGGGTTAGTCTTGCCTACTGATGCGAAGGAAATGAACCCCTGATTCGATTGGGCTCCTGTACAGGTAATCCAACAGGCAACCACAAACTGGTTTGACCATCACGACATTCAATACTGCTGCAGACTGAAGAAGTCTCTGCTGTAAACAGCTCATTTTGCATACTTACTATGACCGCCGCTAGTACCACTACCTCAGTTTTGATGGACCCATAGCAAATAGCAAATGCACCCAGAAGATCCCAGAATGCCGAAAGTAGTGACACACAGCCCACTTGGCAAAGGTGTGATTTCTACAAGAGGTGCCCTGCCCAGCACAGTTGTTGACTTGATTGTACGTTTGCGGCAATAGCTTGTGAAGTCGCACAGTTCGGTCTTTGTTAAGCAAACCCCCAGACCTTGTTGCTACATGATGGTGCTCCATTTGCTGGTCGGATGCTGCTATCATGTTCTTCAGCCCTTCGTGTTCACAAACCAAGTTATATACTACCGGTAGCAGGATCCGGCTCTGATAGGTTTTTTTACATGGCGTTTTGCAAATTTTTGAATGTATCCAAGCCTACCCGTCTCCACCTGTCCACCTGGTTTCATCATGGCTCAAGTAAGGATCGTGAAGTACATGCTCGACTGAATGACTTCAAGTTTGTTGCAGCTAGAAAACAGGCTGAGAGATGTCCCAAACACCCTCTGGGTAGTTAAGACCAAAAGGAATGGAACTCCAGAAATAACATTGCTCATGGTAACAACACTCCGAGCAGTCAGCTTTGTTTTTCGGAGCTGCATTGTTGCACTCTCTGCGCAGGTCATGAGCTGCACGGTAGTTCCCTAAACTTGGGCTTAAATGTTGACAGTAACACTTCTGCCATCTGGCGGAGGCCACTGCAGAGGCCCTCAAATAAGTAACAAATGACACATGTGTCCAATATACTGCATATATCTGCGTATATATATATATAGATGGATTCAATACATCTTGAACGGTGATTCACATTTCTATCTTTTGGAGTTTCTGTAGTTTCATCTTTTAAACATGTCAAATGATTTGCAGTCAGTTCGGTGCTGTTCCTGCTCATTGGCTTCTGCTGCACCTACTGAACCGGCACTTGATAGTAGATGTTTCCATAGCTGTTTGTATGTAAAATACTCGGCGCCTGCTTCACCAACGAGCTCTTCCATCGTCTTTCCATACAGGTTGTGTCCGAACACGAGCCTCAAATCATTCGGGGTAATGTAGCCCTTGCAATAGATATCCAACAGTGAAAATACGTTGACCACATCCTCGCCAGAAAATATATCAATGGTATGTTCAAAAGCTGAAAGCGCTTCCAGCAATTGCTTCGTCTCTGAGGTCACTAAGTTGTCCAAAATATCGAAGAGCCGACGTGCAGGCTCAGGTGCCTGGCTATG